CTGCAGAAAAAATAGCTTGTATACATGTATAAAGAAATTAGTGAAGATGCAAATATTAAATAATTTGGGTCAGGTGAGGGGAGTATTTGTTTAGGGAAAACAGTATCTACTAACAAGCTTGAATAACTGAAAATCAAATTGCCTACTTTGTAGCGAGACAGTTCAATGTATTTTATTTGGGCTTAGAATACTGTGTGTTCCTGCTTTAAATACCCACAACAGGAAGTTAAATCTGAATATTGCTGGAATAGACTATGGCATTGCTTTTGCTGACATCAAGAGTGTGCTTTATCTCATCCAAAACTATGCTATTTGGTAGCTTTAGAATCATTACTTTGGTATTTAAAACAACCACAAAGTGGCATGCCATGGTAGTTTAATGGCATGGGGCACTTCCAGTAGTGATCTGTTGCTCAACTTCAGTTGACTTTTGTGATTTAAATTGTATCATGTACAAAATGAGCACAGTACATGTCAATTATATTTGAAGACTATATTACCCAACTGAGTCATAACGGAAAATGAAGTCAGTCAAATATGGACCCAAGTTCCTTGGTTTCAATATTAACTAGTTATGAATCTGCTTTAGGCTTTCTTGCAGCAATATCTGCTATGAACAGTCCTATCACCTTACCTTACAGAATTTGCTGATGTTAAGGGGTGCTTTGCTGTAATTGGAGATAGTAACAATGTAGTAGAATTTTTTTCTAGTTATTCAAACTTGCTATGAAAGCCTTATAGTGCATGATGACTTAATAGCTTGGTTAAGTCTGAAAGACGCCCTCCAATTCTAAGCTCTGTTTTTTACTTTACCTTGCTAATTCCTGTCTGTATAACAATTCTTGTTTATTTTCAGATCAGAGTGATTTTTAAAAAAAGTGAAGTGAATCACCCAAGCTTGTTTGAATAGTAGTACTGTGAAAAAATTAATATTTCCTTTTTCCCAAACAGTATGACTTTTTTGGAAGGGAATCAAATATCTAACTTTGGTGTTCAGACTTCCCCTGTTGATAGCCCTTCAACTAATCCATAGGTTAGCTGGGAGCATGAATGTCTAAAAAGAGTCTCTCTGATTGTACAGTTGCAGTTTTAAATGGATTGCTTCCCTTCAGGTTTCCAGGGACCTGGACTGGCCCTGCTTGCAAGGACCCGTTAGGAAGAAGTACTATTTCGTTATCTCAGTGTGTTTTATAAAAAGTGATCTTCAGCCCCAGATAACAGATTATTATATATTCTCTGTATATCTGGAGAAGAAACAGACTTTTGCTTTGCCAAATAAATGGTTCTCTGTTCCAATTTCCATCTCTTTCCTTCTGGTAAAGGAAGATACCCAGTCCTACCCTATTTCTTGCTGCTTATGTTAAAACATACCAAAGGCAAACCTGCTCATTCCCAGTGTGGACAGGCACTCGTGCTCCTTTTCACTCAGTGAAGGCATTTTCTGAAATAAGAATAAAAGGAAAACCAGATCTCATTCTGAGGCCCCATTCTCAGAGCACAGAATAAAAAGTCTTGTCTGAATAGTAGAGTGGTGGTTAGCAGATGGTAGGACAGGGTGACACCTGAGAGACTAACAGGCTCAGAGGCCTGAGCTTTTGTAGGCAAAGTCTACTTTATCAGATGCTTTTAGCATGCTAGCATCTGACAAAGTGGGCCATTGCATATGAAAGCTCGTGCCTCTGAACCAGGTAGTTTCAGTTGCCATCCTGCTTTATCCCCTACCTGAACAGTAGCATAACGTGCATATTTTATCAAGTATTACCTCCCAGTGCCTACTTATATTGCTACTAGGGCTGTGCAAAACAGCACTGTTCTGTTTCAACTTCCATTTCGACAGAACAGTGTTTTGTTGGAACCACTTTTCACAGCTGGGCCTATGAACTTCACTTCATCAGCCTCCTAGGTACAGAAACTCATGGACTCAATATTGACAGTGGAATTCTGACTCACTACAACCTGCTGGACATCTGACTCCCCAGGTACCTCTGCACTTTTACCTGCATTGCTACATTATGCCCCCCCACCCCCCGACACCTCCATTTCCATTTTCACTGACTGGCTTTCTTGCCTGCATTGCATGCCAGCCTCTGGCTTCTTTACTATTCCTTCCATCCAGGAACAGCGCGCACACACCAATTGCAGATGCTTACTCAAGCTAACAAAGGGTTTTTCAAGCCGAAAGCTAGCATCCCAGGCAGCTAAGCTGAGCTCACCTGGAGCCTCACAACTCCACTGCAACAAGCAAGTTTCAGGCCTGTCAAAGATGGGATGGGTCTGGGCTTTCCCCAGCCAGGACTCTGCGTGCGTGTGTGTGTGTGTGCGCGCGTGTGTGGTAGCTGGAGGTTATGGCATCTCGTACCTGCCTTTCAGCAGGGGTCCTTGGTCCTGGCATTTATGAGGTTGCTGCACCACCAGCAGTCCCACCAGGCCTCCCTGACCCTGGCAGAGCGCTGTTTTAGTGGTTACGCCCAGGGCCTGGGGCCTTCTTCCCCATAGCCCCAGCCCATACCTCCAAGTTCATTTTTGGCATGGGAACTCAGCAAGGACATGCTCTTCTCCTGCTGGCTGGTGATGCAGTGAGTACCCCCTCTAGCTCTGCGAGCGGGGCATTAAATGGCTTTTTAAAAATGAAAATAGGAAAAAGGTGTGGATGGAGTGAGGAGGGTGGCATTCACTCTGTCGGCACCTGGAGCTTGGGGAACCCCAGCAGCAGGAGGTTCACCTTTAGGAACACCAGCTGCTCCACCAAACCAGGATCCAAGGAGGTGTGGTGGGGTGTCACTACATCCCCAGCAATGCTGAACACCCTCTCTCTTGAAACACTAGGTGGTGGACAGGACAGGTGTTCCCGGGCAACCATGGCCAGATCTGGCCACATCTGGCTGCGGTTTGCCCAGTAGGCCAAGGGGTTGCACAGCAGCAGCTCCATGTCCTTGCTGAGATAGGCAGCCACAAAGGCCTGAGCACTACCTGCCTGATGGTGCGGTCTGGTGGCTCTGGACCCCACCATGGAAGCCATTCCCTTGGCCGACATTGGTAGTGCCTGTGGTGGAGGAGGAGACTGGCTGGTGGGTGGCGTGCTAGCATGGGACAGTGGATCCCCCCTCTTCCACATCCCCTCGTTTCCACTGTTCTGCCTCCCTGACTGTCTTCACCAGCACCTCCGTCCACTGATTCAGGGTTTGGCTTCTGCATAAGCTCCCCTTCACCCTTGGATCACACATGGCAGCCAGTATATGGACCATACTGGATCCCCTCATGGGATCAAGCCATTTCCTGATGCCTTTCTTCAGCCATCTCACCAATGCCTGCATGTCTGGTGACAGCAGCTTGCTCCAGCCAGGAACATTTAAACCCCTGGAAGCTCTCCACTTGGCTTTGAAGTTCCCTCTGTATGGCGATCACCTGGCTAAGGGCATCAACAGCACTGAGGGACTCAGGGGCCTTGAGGAAGGGCTTGAGGACCACCAAGATCTGGGAAATGGTATCCCACTCAGCTCTGTTGAGGGGGCCATTGATCCAAGCAAGGCTGCCCGAGCCAGCCAATGTCCCCGAGCAAGGCTATCTCATGGATGGCCTGTTGCTCCACCAGCCTTTTGAGCATCAGGTACGTGGAGTACCACCAAGTGTCTACATCTTGCATGATTTTGTACTGCGGGATATCCAGTCAGCTCTGCTTGTTTGTCCCGCAGCATCTCTGCTCTGGTGGAAGTAACCTGTCACCTTCCTGCCTTTGGAAATGAGCCTGGTGCTGGTGCTGGCGCCATCACCGGCAGCCCTGTCCCCCTCCAAGGCATCCCTGACAATGAGGTGGAACTTGTGTGCCACACAGTGGATGCCAACAAAGTTGGCATCATCGACTGCCTTGACCGTATTGGCCCGATTGTCGGTGACCATGAACCTGCAGGTCAGCTTGCCCTGCCCAGCGAGACACCCCTGCGCCAAGCGGTTCATGACCCCCATGATCTCAGTTGCCGTGTGGGACTCATCCATCGCCTCTGCTTGAAGGAGAGCCCACCAATGACCTGACCAGTGCCCTCTGAGGGAGAGGTAGGTGTGATCACCACTCTGGCTGCTTCAGATGTCCGAGGTGAAGTGTAAGGCCACCTGCGGCCCTGCCTTGCACAGCTCCTCCCTCAAATACTCCCCGCGTGCCTCATACAGGAATGGCACCACTCTCCTACTGAAGGTAGTGGGTGCAGACACATGGTAGGATGGGACCACAAGTGCCATGAGCCACCTGAACCCCAGCTGCTCAACTAAGAAGAATGGCTGGCTATCAAAAGGAAGCATCTCCCCAATGCTCTAGGTGATCTCGCTCGCCATTGCAAAGTGCCCTGCTTTCTGTCCGCCTTTCCCCCACTGTTCCAGCTGATCTGGCGGATGCTGTTGGCTGTCTGCAAAGCTCAGCTTGAGAAGAGAAGGGGGCTCAGGCAATTTCTCTTAGTCAGCAACACTTGTAATGTCCTGTAGCTAGGGTGTTAACAGAGCAGCTGCAGTGTTCTGCTGCTTCTGCAGGTGCCTATGCTTTCCCTGAAAAAACACCATACAGTACTTAACAGTATTTTCAACACCAGGTCTTTTTTTCTTCATTCTGCTGTTCAAAACCAAGCTTTGTATCTTATTTGCAGGTATGTTATATGCAAGCAAATATGGTAATTGTACTGGCTAGAGAACAAAGATCGTCTTATGATTAATGACCTGGACTAGAAAGGATTCAGGAGATCTGGGTTTAATTTCTGTCTCTACTTCCTAATAATTCCCTATTACTTCCTGGGCTATCTTCCAGTAAATTGCTTCATTTTTTTTTCTGTGCGTCAATTCCTATCTTGTAACATGGGGATAATGGCTTTATGTTGTAACCTTTCGTTTTTAGCTGTACAAAAGCCATCATCTTGGCTGAAGTCTCTAGACACTAGCATAATATAAATAATAAGCAACAGTTGTCAACTAATACTTGTAATGCATCTGAAATGTGCTCAACTTTTCTGTCTCTTTAGGGAACAGAAATTTTACTGGCACCTGAAACTTGTGTTTCCCCACTGTCATGCTGAATACACAATACAAAGGTACCTGGATGTGATGAACAGATTTATGTCATTTGAAAGAACTTCTCTCAAACTATTTTGATGTGTTTTCAGCCATGTCTTTTTACATAGTAATGTGAATAAATAAAGCTTTCTTTTTCACTCTTAATGAAGAGACCTTTAGGATTGATTTTTTTTTTAAGTTGGTTTTGTTTCACCTAGAAGTGTGAACTGAATATTTTGTTTGCACTGAATAGTGCAGCTTGTATATGAAACATGATACTTTTTGTTCGCAAGCATGATGATATGGTGGTGTCTAGCCACACTCCCAACGTCTTTTTATGAGCCATATAGTAAATGTCTCTCTCTCTGGCAAGATACCCATACTCTTAAACGTGGTTGATAGAATGCTTGCAGTTTTGTCTTCTAATGGATACTACAAACTGCATGAAAGTAGAAGTACATCTGTCATTATTGACCAATTCTTCTGTTATGTGACTTTGGGGATAGAAAAATCTGAGAAATAGTTCCTCTCCTGCTTAATGCTGCAGGAACTGGATATACCCTTTCCAGCTTCAGGGGTGAGTGGAGAATAAGGAGCAAGTTCTCTCTGTTTCCTTCCAGGTGCCAGTTAAGTTCTAGTGTTTCAATGTGTCCTAGAACTGCTTGTGCCATGTTGATGCACATGTACCGCTTGTATGTATTACTAGACTGGGCAGGATTATGTAAATACAGTCTCCTGAAATTGGCTTTCATGAATCATGAAATAGTAGGACTGGAAGGGATGTCAGGAGGTCATTTAGTCCAGTCCCCTGCACAAGGCAGGATCATCCTGACTAAACCATCCTGTCAACTATTTGCCTAACCTACTCTTAAAAGCTTTCAAGGATGGAGATTCTGCAACTTCTTTGGGTAGCCTGTGCTAATGTATGACCTCTTCCCTAATGAGAGAGTTCTTCCTGATATCCAACCTAAATTTCCCTTGCTTCAGTTTTGAGATCATTGCTCTTAGTCCTGTCACATATAGCCGCAGAGACTAGTCCATCTCGTATTGCTCTTTGCATGCATAATGAGTCATAAATTATAATGCTGCTATTTTTCTTTTTCCTTTTTTTGGAGAAAGGGTGCCAGATGATAAAATGCTAGGTGAAATCCTTAAGCATTATGTTGATCCAGTAGAGTCTGATCCTGTAATTCGTCAAAGGTAGGTGTGATTAATTGTTAAAATAGCCAAACCACTAAAAAAATCTCATCAATGGTTAACTTCCCACTTTTATTCCACACTCCACAAAAGTGAGTTACAATCTAATAATGCACTCTTCATCGTCGTGAAGAAAATCAACTGTAATACTCTTTGAGTGAAATCAAATAGCCATTGAATCTAGATCAGTAAAACTCTAAAAAATCAATTATTTAAAAGTAGACATGAAATTAATAGCCCGATAGTCTTTGGACTACTAGTATTACTTTAAATCACAGGTGGGAGAAATGGCAGATCTGGCCGGTGGCTGGACTCCATTTCCCAGCAGCCCCTGCTCATGCAGCTCCTGCTGTCTCCATGAAGAACCCAGCAGCAGCAGGCCTGTGACAGAACGGGGCCACAGATCCAGTGTTTGGCCCTAGCCCTGGGCTTGCACTGTCACGGCCATCCCCCAGGGGCTCCAGGGTGACTAGCAGGCAGTGGCGTAAGCAAGGCACACAGCTGTGTGGGGAGCTGCTCTGAGGCTGGGAAGACCCAGGATCTTGTGGTTGTGACAGCAAGGAGCCAGAGCTGGGGTAGAGCTGTGATCTGCTCCCTGCACACCGCTGCCCACAGAATCCACACGTGCTGCATGCAGGCAGTAGATCGCAGCTGTGCGCTAGCTCCGGTCCCTTGCTGTCACCACAGCAAGATCCCAGGTCTCTGGCCTGACCCACCTGTCTTGCTCCCAGCTGTCTGCCCTGCCCTCACAGGTCCTGTCTCGGTGGTGGGTGAGGGGTGCACACCGGGGGTGGTCCAGTGGCAGCAGCCAGAAGGAGCTGCCGCCGCATGGGTGCTGGGACATGGAGTCTGCCGCAAGCCTAATCCAGTCCATGGAACAGACTTTTCCTACCCCTACTTTAAATTATGGCATTGTTACTTAAAAAAGAAAAACAATTTTGTATCAGAGCCGTTTTTATAGAATATCAAAAAAACTATCTATCAGGAAGCTTGAATTTTCATGGACAAGAATCCTGTTTTGGTTATTGACTTGTAAAAACAGTGCAATCTCTTAAAAGTAAAAGATGCTTTAAACTGCCTTTTGATATGACTGTCTAGGTACCATCAATTATTACACATTTCCGTTTTTCAGATTAAAAATTTACACAATGTCTCCTGAGTCGGATGTACAAATTTTAATGAAAGTAGAAAACAGGCAACATAACTCTGTCAGGTAAGAAATCTATTTTTGGTATGTAGTCTCAGTTTGTGTATTTTTAGGAAAAAATTATTTGTTAAATGTTTCATAATCATTAGTATTGTTGTCATAAAGGCTAGCATATGTGTGTGTAATCTTTCAGAATAAATCATTTCAATCGAGATACAGGAAATTAAAAATAGTACTTCATTCTCTTTAGTAACTCATTGTCTAGGCCTGTGTAAAATTTATCTAAGTTAACCCAGGGCACTGGTTTTTTTCCCTCAAGACTATTATCTGGTCAGACTTCAAACTCCAGTTTTTTCTGAATGCAACACTTTTTAAATGTTTTTAGAATTGTATGATTTATTGCACTAGCTCTGGACTACAAAAATTTGAACCATCACCATTTAAAAATGTAAAAGCTGAAGAAAGAATTGTAGCTATCATATTGTGAATAACTATTTAGAATACTCAGCCCTCCTGTCACTGTTTATTGTAAAGGTTATGTACTAGCTTTAATACCATATTGTATTGTGGTTGACCAGTAATTCTTAGTTGAAATTCCTAAACTGCATTCCTTTCTTCATCTGTAACAAGCATAGTGTCTTCTAACTGGTCCCTGAAATTTTGCCACCCATTCTTTATTATTCTTTTTTTTTTTTTTTTTTTTTAAAGGCCCTTGGGGGGTTTAAAAAACCCAAAAAAAAAAAACCCAAAACCCTTTTTTTTTTTTTTTTTTTTTTTTTTTTTTTTGTAAAGGCACTAGTGGTGATTAAAAAACCCAAAAAACAAAAACTCATAACCCTATGTTTGTTGTAAATGGACAACCTATTTCCTCCATGATACAGTTCATCATAAACTTCAGGTAAGAGTGAGTGAATTATGTAGTCTGGAATTGAATGACAAAATTAAACTACAAATTCTTGATGTTTTCTCTCAGACTGCATATTAATATCTGCAATATCGGTCACTAAAGTGACAGCTAGCAGGTCTGTCTTTTCATATGATGTGCCAATTTTTCATTTTGCTTTTTTAAAGTAGTAAGATTTCATAGATTTCATAGACATTAGGGCTGGAAGGGACCTCGGAAGATCATCGAGTCCAGCCCCCCGCCCAAAGGGCAGGAAGTCAGCTGGGGTCATAGGATCCCAGCAAGATAAGCATCTAATTTGCTCTTGAAGGTGTTCAATGTAGGTGCTTGAACCCACTCTGATGGGAGACTATTCCAGACCTTGGGAGTTTGGACAGTAAAGAAATTCTTCCTTATGTCCCGCCTGAAACAGTCTTGCAGGAGTTTATAACCATTCGACCTCATCATCCCTTGGGGCGCTCTGGTGAACAAATGTTCCCCCAGATACTGATGGTCACACCTGATAAACTTATAGGTGGCCATCAGATCACCCCTCAGCCTGCACTTTTCCAGGCTAAAGAGCCCTATGGCTCTCAGCCTGTCATCATAAGGTCTGTTTTCTTGACCTTTGATCATGCGTGTGGCTCTTCTCTGGACTCACTCAAGCTTCTCCACATTCTTTCTGAATTGTGGAGCTCAAAACTGGACACAGTACTCCAGCTGCGGCCTCACCAAGGCTGAGTACAAGGGGAGAATTAAGTCCCGGGATTTACTTGAGAAGCATCTATGGATGCAAGCCAGCGTTTTGGTCCCTCTACTAGCTGCAGCATCACATTGCAGGCTCATGTTCATCTTGCGGTCAATGATGACCCCCA